AGTGACAATAAGATGTCCTAACCAATTTTACATCGATCGAATAACCAATGGTATAGACTGCCGAAGTTGAGGTAGGGCTGTTGGTTGAGTAATTAAGGTTATGGGCTGCGACGAATCTCTTGTTTCATAATTGTTGAGCCTACTTCCATTTCGAGTTTGGTGCATAGATTCAAATGTCGATCCCATCAGAAGACGAAAGCGGATTCTTCTTAGCCAGCTGTCAATTGGCTTTACTGGAGCATTTATGTTGACGCTGTTTCTGATTTAATCTCATTATATTCCAGTAAAGACGTGCTAGGCTCTTGTCTATCGTATCACGGACATCATCAGAGTAAAGAGTGTACTATCCTAACAGCCATATTCAAGTTAAATGGTCAGGAAAGCTTACTGGCTCATCCCTAAAATACTGTATATATGGCCTATATGTGATCTCTTTAATGGGGTATAAAGTAATTTGGCTAGTTCCAGTCATGTCAGCCTCGGAGCATGTGTCTGTCCCTGTATGCGTAAGTGCCTGCATGTGTTCGCATATGTATGAAACCAGCAGCAATGGCTCAAAGTAATTAGAACAGCAATAGTAACGTCTGTCCTCAGTCAGCAAGGTTTAATGACCACCCTTATCACATCCTGCTCTGTATTTAACCATCACTCTGATTTCGCAAGGTCGGACACACGTCTGGTTATGTTGATGAGCTATCTTGTCTTCGGATGAGAGAGTGTGTGGGCTAAAAGTACATAGAAGTGACCGTGACTAGAACCAAGAGAAGAAAAGACTTGTTTGTGAGATCTTTACTTCGTAAGAAAGTGACTAGACACATTCAAAAACAAATTCTGACAATAGGTCGCTTACGAATAACTTCAGAAAATTTTAGATAGTATATCATCTCGTCAGGAAATAGAAAATTCGACAGAGCACACATACATCTGGCACCTTGATTACTCTTCTAAAATTTATAGTCATGGCTCCAAAACAATCCTCAACCGGCTTTTAGCGAGCCCAACTTACAAATTCCTTCAATTCTCTTCAAACTTAACGAAAGGTATGCCAACACCAACTGATCTAACTCTGCTAACTCATACATGACTGCATAGGCAAGAGTAGAGTATCGTTTTGAGGTTTTTATACGTATTTCATACAATTTGTACCCCCTAATTCGCCTGCCAACCTGATTTGGAGCAATCATACTCCGTGGACGATTTCGTCTCCGTCGGCGTTTGTGGCGCACCAAAGTGATTCCAGCTGCACTATCATCTTTCTCTGGCTGCGTCTCATTTGTCTGATCGGCTTCCGAACCCCCCTCGGGTTTTGGTGATCCGCCTCTTGTATGACTAGAAGATAGATGACAGTCGTCTGGAGCGCCCTGCAAATCGATGTCTGAGCTCTGGTCCGCCTCGACCAAACGACGCGGTTGAGCCTGTTGCTGCTGCCGCACCGGTTGCCTGCGAACAGGACCAGTAGCTGGGACCCGGAGCAGGGGGTCCAAAGTGGCAGATGAAAGCGCATGAGTATCAGTCCCTATGCATGATGGAAAGGTACTGACGGAAGGCACGGATGATGTGGTGGGGGCAATTGGAGAGGCAGTTGTAGTAGTAGTAGTGGTTTCAGCAGAGGATAGACAGACATGATTGGGTAGCGTGAACGAGTGAAGTGGACGAGCCAGTAAAGTAGACGTCTGTGCAGTTAAGGGAAGCTCTTGCTGTAGAGAGAAGAGTAATTGCTGCTGCTGATGTTGAAAGATGGCTAGATTCTGAAATCTAAGGAATTATAACAGGCGTTAATCATGTTAATAAGGAGGAAAAAGTCTACTTAAATACTGAATATTACATTCACAGGAAGTTTACGTAATTATCAATTAATAAGAAGTATATTCACCCTAGTTTGCCTCATCGGCAATCACAAGATAAATGTGATGAGGCCTGGCCTCCTTCGAAATTCGAATGTCCCTTTGGACCACTGGCAATCGTGGCGGTATGGAGTTGTCGCCTTTTGAAACTATGCGATACACTACCCATTGCAAGTGCTGATTATACCAGTTGAGGTGAAATTCAAACTGCAGTTCACTCTGGATTAGAATACCTATTGAGAAACATGGCTAAATTAATTGAAGAACTGAAGACCAAAATGGTGCGGCCCTCGGTATGGTCGCAGTCTTTTTTCGAAGTGAATTGACCTCGTTTTTGCAACTTGTTCTTGTGGTCAGGGCGACTTAGTCTGACGCACTTTGTCCCAAGTCCCAACGTCAGACCGTGGACCTGGTAAATTGTCAGACGTTTTGCCGGCATCGTAGTCGTCATCCTCATTTAGTCTTGCCATTCTCAGCACCAAGCTGGGAGGGGGGGCAAGATGAACGGGTATGATTGTGCCACACAAAACTTGCTAGAAAGGACACACCTAATGACGAGTAGAATGCAAACAAGTCACTTTATGATAGTGATAGTAGGATAAGAGTAAAGAGTAGATAGATGGGCCGTGACTGAAGGAGGAGTGATGGTGCAACCGTTTCGGAAGAAAATTTGGTCAATGATTTGACGAGGTCTAACTTGGTGCTGAAAATTGCAAGATTCATTGATGATGCCGACTAAGATGACGGCGAAACGTCTGGTGCTGGGAATTATGACAACTACTATAGCTTAGGGCTTCGAACAAGGTGCGCCCAACTGAGTCGCCCTAACAACAAGACCAAGATGCGAAAACGAGGTCAACTTACTTCTATGGCTGGGTTAAATTCAATGAAAACGTGGGACCTATTCATGTGGTCATGGGAAGGTCCAGCTCATACGAGCTTGTGTGACAAGAAAGACTGTCAAATCATATGCTTAAATAGATGAAAATAAATAAGTCTTAGTGAATGAAACTAATGGGACTAAAGTCCAAGTAGCAAGAATAAGAAGAGCCCACAGTTTTCTAATTAAGGTTAAGCCTGTTCCTCCTAGCTTTAACTGAATAATGTTAAAACCATTTCTAGCATAATTCATTTCTTACCCAAAATCTTTTAAGACCAACCTCGGTTAGATTTAATACCGTAAAGTAAAAGATAGTTGGATGATTAGTCCGAGGAACAATGCAATGAGGCCTGAAGTAATTCAGTCTCTCTAACTTAGGTCCAATTTTACAGAGGTTTAGAATGCTCCAACATCATCAATCCCGATAAGGTCCATATTACAGCATTTAATTAACAAATTAATAGGTATATCAAATTTCACAAATGGCTTGCCGATTACTATATAGGTTTAATTTATTTATCACTTAATAACTTACCAATAAAAATATGATTTACTAACTAGCCACCCTTTAACAATATTAACAACAGTACCAATATCAACAATGCCTTGGCAAGATAAAGATTTACATTAAAAATACATCTAAAATCGATCGTCTTATAGAAGTGTTATGGGACACAAAGGTATCTAATGAAAGGAACCTAGAGGTAATAAAGCACACAGAGCTTTTAGTAAGTTATCCCACTCTTGTTACTCAATATTCATGCAAGCATAGATGGAGTTTTCGATTAAAAGAAATTGGATTCTTAAAGAAATAGATAAAGTAGTGAAGCAAACTTCTTCGCTAATTTTTCACCAGAATCTCAACATTTTACTGACAGATTTTAATATGGTGCCAAGGATGGAATTTCACACGTTTGGGGAGGTAGCCAGCCAACGATTCAGTATTATGAGAATAGAAAAGGATGGCAGAAGACGTAAAATGGAATAATTTCTTATAACTACCTCATTAAATGACTAAGTTGGGTAAACGAAATCGAAACGATTCTGAAGTAAACCAAAGGCCACATTACCTTGGGCTTCATTTTTCTGCACGCGTACCTTTTGCAAAAGATATACGGTTTTTAAAATAAAGCACTCATTGGCATGTTTGATATAAGTCTTGTTCCAAAATTTTATCTCAGCAAGTATCCTATATGGATAAGTCAAATTGTCATGCAATAGAATATTCATTTTTCACCGATAGCAGTTCTCTCAAAAGATACCTAATTTCTGACTTGACAAAAACAAGTCCCAGATGAATTACCTCGGGTTTCTGCGTTCTTTATCCGACTGATCATTGAGTCCAGCTTTTTAGCTGCAAAAAGTCCCTTTGCAAGTTAATGACTCGCTTGATGAGGACTAGGCTCCTGCAGTGGCTTCAGTAAATCCTGCCAAAATAGGTAATACGAATGCGCTTCATGCTTGATTCATTTAATGTTACTGTAGCTTCAGTTTAAAAGCCAGATCACTCCTAACGCCTCGTAAAATTAGCCATGTAGGGGGACTGTTCTCGAGGCGACAGTGGTGTAGCGACGCGCCTGACTATTCTCACAATTCACAGATTAGTCATGAATTTTAGTAAGCTATCCTGAAAATATAAATAGCTTGACCTCGTTCTCTCAACTTGATCGTATTGATAAAACTGCTTTTGATGAAGGCATCCTGCCCAGGTCCTTTGCCACAGTAATTATGATCATTTATAGCGCCGGACAGTGGAAGTAGCATATTCCCGGACCTTTCGGTAACATCGTAGAATGAAGAGTCAGTGAGCTTTGTCGTTGTTACCAGCAAGCTAAAATTCATCAGAGATAAGTGAAGTCCATCTCTTGATCGGCAAGAGTTCCTCCATGATTCACAGTAAACGAATTTGAACATAGAAGCGATTAGGGATTTAGCAAACGAGTGCATATGCCAAACTAAGATGTAGGAAATATAGTATTAGCTTAGTCTAGTCTCCATCTTGGAAACCCAGGCTTTGGAGGCTTGCTAGGTAAATAAGCAATATAAATGCTATCAAAAGCTTGGGGCAGAGTACGGGAAATGAAGCCTTGAGTTGCCTGGATAAAGTATGGGAGTGAAGCCAGTTAACTAGAAGAAACAGATCGCCGAGATCAGGAGGGAGGCGCTAGTGCGTCCTAGATTAAGTAGATCGCGGAGTGAAAAGGCCAAAGGGAGTTAACAATTCAGGCCCAAAATAGGGGAAAGAGAAGATTAGCGGGAGGTGAAAAGGCTTCAATAAATCTGGTTAAAGGGCACATCTTTTGGATAAGTGAAAATGAACTATTTATAAGTTGTGATAGTACACAGAGAGATACGATAATAATAAAAAGGCGAATTTACCAGAACTAAAAAAGAGATAAATGTTCAACAGAAACAGGGATCGGCTTCATTTGACTCTGACGAGAAGTAGCTTGATGGTTGGAAAGACAAGGGTCAATAAAAATGGCATACGCGTCTGGGAACATGTCAATTCCACGGTCTGACGCTATAAATGATCAAGACTACGAGTGTAAAGGAATCCGAGCTTGGTGCACTAATTAAATTCCCCTTGATGGCAAGTTGAATAAACAAGATCCAACTTCTATACGATGAAGGGAATATGGCAAGGCTGCACCATCTTGGTCGTCATACTGTATAATTATCTTGGTAATATTTAGTGCCTCGATTGAAATGAAATTGCAACCTGTCTCTCAGTGCAATTAAACACTATTAAATAAGAGCAAAATGACGTCTTAAATGATCAGATATTTTGAGCGGTGCGATCAAATGATTTCGTGCTTAAATAATAGTAGTGAAGTCAAAAAAGAATAAGCGATAATCAAATGTAGAGGGATTAATTGTGGGTAAATTACAAATTTCAAGTTAAAAGCTGTTAACAGCTAAGTAGCTTATTCTAAAATTAGTGGATTTTCAGAGCAATGTAATGAGGGCCAATACAGATGAATTTTCACGTTCTACGAATCAATTGAGCAAGGTAGGAATAACATGGAACTGATTGCAACCCACAAGTTTGCAATATTTCCATAGGGCAAACAAACAACTTGGTTTCATCCTCTCATAAAATAAAATCCACGAGGCAAGCGTTCATATGGGGGCATGAAAGTAAGTAAAATTAAATGAGATCTCTAGTAAGAAGAGCGAAGCCTTCTTACTCACAAAAAAACATTCTCGTCTAAAAGATAGTAAGTAGAATGGAAATAATAAAAAAATTGTCAAAGAAAAGCTGATCACCTGTTAGCATATTAATGTAAAAAAGCAAAATGATTCAGCGGATGTCTTTGATGCTTGTGAATTAAATTAACTCAAAGAATCCTGTGTTTGTGTGACTTTACCAAATAATTTATAAGTGCAATTTTTAATCGAAA